GCAGAATGATGGTCGGCGCGCCCGAGCAGCCACTACAATCGCACCAAGCGCCTTGTTCTGGTAGTACATGTAGGCGGCCGCCATCACTTGGCGCATGCACCTGACCCATGGGACGCTGATGTCGTGAACTGCAGCAACGGTCGCCGGGTGAGCGCCCCAGCTGTAAGCCACGTCCAAGATAGCACCATGAGAAAAGAGGCGGCTCGTGACTTCTGGCTTACCTGTGGCGCCGCCGACACGACGTACCATCAATCGCAGGGGGCCATGGCGGCGCGACAAGAAGCTGCGATGAATGGTCATCCGCAGGGCCCACTTCTTCACTCGCGTCTTCAAGACGCGATCCACTGCGAGCACCTCCTCCAACCTCATGCGCTGCAGTCTGACAGCGCGCTTGCGGCACTTGGCATAGCGCATGCAGTATCCTAGTGCACGCCTGTCGCTGAGAGTGCCGTGCCGCCCCCTCCCACAGCGTCTGCTCGGCAACGGACGCTCCACAATTGCATCAGGCGGGGCCACCGCTTGGTCAGCTGGTGCGTCGGGGGGCGATGCTGGGACCACCTGGAGGGCTGCTGGTTCAGGCTCCGAGTCGCTGAATATGTCTCCAAGGTCGGGCGGCCCATCATCGGCCCGGTGGCTTGACGAGCCATCAGAGAAGATGTCGCACAAGCTCATCGATTGCGCCAAAATGGCTGTGAAACGGGAATGGTGGGGGGGAGAAGGTGAGGAGGATGGACATGAAGGAGGCGGAGGAACGAGGCGGAATGATGGGAGAAGGAGGATACTTGGCCGAACGGGGCTATCCTGGACAAGAGTCGCAACCAGAATCTGGCCATACCAAGTTCCGTTGGCCGGGCAACCAAGCGCCACATGGCCTCTAAAGAGGGGTCTGTAAACTCTAAAGGAGTTAGCGTCTAACCCCTGATGATGTGGGGGTCTGGACGCCCGAGTTATCCGGGGTAACTCGGGTCCGGGGTAACTCGGGTTTGGATTCCCGAAAAAGGAACCCGAGTTATCCCTGACCCGAGTTAACCCTGATGATTCGGGGCTCTGAATTCTCGTGTGACAGGAATGGAGCGCGGAGGGGGCGAGATCTGGGCAACTCCAGTGAAGGAGGGGAAGTCGTGTTCATATTGTGTTCATTGTTGAGGCGTCAACCATGGCGCGAGAGCGCACCTGGCTCGTGCGTAATGGGCCCTGGAAACGACAAGGCCGTTGTTTTACCGGGTCCGTTTTGCTGTTTTTTTGCCGGTTCCGAGGCCGCTTTTTTACCGGTTCCGTCGCCGTTCTTTTACGGGTTCCCGCTCTGGTTCCAATCCTGGAGCCGTTTTTGTTGCCGTTTCCGGTCGCCGTTTTTTGCCGTTTCCACTTTCAAGGGAGACTTTTGCGGAAACGGTGAAAAAACGGCCCTGCCGTTTTCGGGGGCCCACTAGAGGCTCGTGCCCCCCCTCTCCTCGTCCGCCCTCCATCTCCCTCCCCCTCCCTCCCGCCGCCGTGCTCTCCCCGGCGCGCCCGCCGACTTCTCGACGGGCCCGCCTCCCCCCCCGTGTCTCGCCTGCCCCCCGCTCCTCCGGCTCCTCCTCGTCCCAGCCTCTCCGACCGCTTCTCTCCCGCCTCTCCCTTCGGCGGTGGACGAACCTCCCTTGAGCAAACCTCCCCTCAGTGAAAACAGCCTGGGACCGAAACCGACGGACATGGAGCCGCAAAAACGACGGCCGCGACGCCCCCTCGCGAAGCAAACACGGCCAGTTTCCTTACTCGACGTGTCGGGGTAGGAAGTCTGTCCACCCCCGATCCCTCCACGGTTCCTCGTGCCCTCTCCCCCTCAGGTGCTTCTACTACCCCCTGGAGCTCCGCACCCTTGTCCTCCCCGCGCCTCCGTCCTGCCCCCCCTCCTCCTCCCTCTTATTCCTCCGCCTGCGCCTCCCCGCCTTCTCTGTCCTTCTCCGACTTCTGACCTTCAATATCCTCATTATTTCTCCATCCTCCTCCTACTCCTCCTCCTCCTCCTGTTCATTATCATCCTCCCTCCTCCCACCTCTCTCTCATCACTGTGTCATGTCCTCCCTCTCTCCCTCATCCTCCTCCTCGATCCATCCATCCGGTCCATCCCATCCATCCTCCATCATCCCGTCTCCCTTCTCCTCCTCATCCTCCTCCTCCTCCTCCTCCTCCCTCTCATACCTCCCCCTTCCTTTCCATCCGCGAGGTGAAAGTGTCGGGCGTTGGGGGAGGAAGAAGCGGAGCGAGGAGGGAAGCGGAGACAGGAGAATGAGCAGCAGCAGACGGAGACGGCGAAGGATGAAGCGGCGGGAGAGGCCATGCGCCACGATTGGCAGGGAGACGTGCCGAGACAGAGCAGGAATTGGACGAAGGGGGGAACAGGTAGCCACGGAAGTACTCTCGGGGATGGACAGACCCCCCTTTCGTAAAAAGTGGCTCAGTGAAAACGACCTGAGGCCCAAACCTGGCGGGCGCAGGCCTGGAAAATGACGGCCGCGGCGACCTCTCGAGAACCGAAAACGGACAATCCACCAATCGACGTGTCACGGTAGGGGTTTCTGTCCACCCCCGATACTCATTTTTGGACGCCCGGCACGGAAAGAACGGGTACAATGCCCCACAACAAATGTTGTCCCAAACCATCAGCGGCCGCTGTTGGGCAGGCGGCCCTCTGTCTCAAATCGACACAGGCCGCGGCGGCGTGGACAGCGAGTCCTGTTCAAATGAACAGGAACTGCTGTTGGGCATTGTACCCATTCTTTCAGTACTCCAGATTTCGTAATAAAAGGGAGGGGGTCGCAAACCTCCCAGACGAGAAGTTCTAGACCCCCCAGACTATCCATCCAAGGGGGGCGCCTTGCTCACACCCCCCCCGGACCCTCCAAGACAGCTCAACTTAGACCCCCCCCCGAATGTGAACCCCCCCACTTTGTCATGGAATCCGGAGTGCCCATGCTCGCCATCGCTCGGACGTCCATTCCCTATGTGTTTTTCGGCTTCGTGCGTGGCTTGTTCGCCAAATGATCCAGGATGCTCCTCGATGGTCCTCGCCGAGAAAAAAAACACACGTCCGAGCGATGCCCGGCATGTCGGGCGTCCAAACCACTGGGGGGCGGGCGAGGGGAGGCGGCAGGAGCGCAGAGAGCATGGAGAAGAGGTGAGGAGGAGGAGGAGGAGGAGGAGGAGGAGGAGGAGGAGGACGGGGAGGAGGAGGAGGAGGAGGAGTACCCATGTCGGGCGCCCAAACCACTGGGGGGCGGGGGAGGCCGGGCCGCCCAGGCTCCCCGCGCCCTGCCCCCCGCCTTCTTCCCGTGCCCCCCCGCCCTCGGTGGCCCGCGGCGCCTCCTCCCGCGTACAGTCGGGGCCTTGACCTAAGGAACCCTAAATAAGGAACGAGGCCCCTTTTTTCCACAAGTTCAACTTCGATTTCTTATCGGAAACAGAAGGAAAACCTGAGGCAAGCTGTGAAACACTTAAGGAACGCGGAGCCCCTCCCCAACCAAAAGGGTTCCTTCTTCAGGGCCCCGACTGTATGCCTGGCCACCGCTCGGGGGGACGCCCGTCTTCCCTGCGTGCTCTCTGTTGCTCGGTGCCGTGCGCGGTTCTTTGGGAGGGGCCCTGGGACACACACACACAAATACACACACACATGAATACACACAAATAAAAGGATTCCCCAGATTTCCGGTGTTTTTCTCCTCCCACCCACTTCCCAAATTCCCCTATAGTTTCGGAGGAATCGACAATTCATTGTGTCTGTGTGTTTTTCCCCTCCTGATCTTTTTTCGCCAAAGGATGAAGGATGCTCCTCGATGGTCCTCGCCGAGAGAAACGTGCACACGCCCTCGGGGATCTTCGGATCAAAACTGCAGTGCTGAAACAAACAAAAACCCGCCGCGCAGCTCTTCGCAGACCCGGGTCCGCTAACATGCGCGGCCGCCCCGCGGCCACGGGCGGCGCGCTGACCCGGGCCAGCCAGAGGCCGCCCTGGCTGCCCCCCGCAGGATCCTGCAGGCTCCGGTGCCCTGGCCGACCCCCGCTTGCACTGACCCCCGTCTCTTAGGCCCCGACGTCCTCCTCCTCCTCGTCCTCCTCCCCCCCCCCAGGATCGGACCGCCACAGATCATCCGATAGATTTGTGGATGCCACGACAATGGACACCCCAACAACCCGATCATCGAACTGAACCTGTGTTTAAAATTACGGAAGACGGCCCCGAAGATGTTTTAAACATGTGTTTAACATGGCTGATCAGTTTTGACACATGTTTCTGACACCTGGAAATGATTTGGCAACATGCTTCCTCTCCATTTATCGGGGATGGACAGACCTCCCTTTAGTAAAACGTGGTTTAGTGAAAACGACCTCGGGTCCAAACCTGGCGGGCGCAAGCCTTGAACATGACGGCCGCGGCGCCCTCTCGAGAAACGAAAACAGACAATTCACTAATCGACGTGTCAGGGTAGGAGGTCTGTCCACCCCCGAATCTATCGTCCTTCATAATGGTAGATCCGGCGGTGCTGGAGGATGCATCGGGCGCCGCGGCCGCGCGGCCGCTCCACAGCGCTGCGAGACTCTCCAAGGGCGCTCCGGAACGGCCCTGGCCCCGCCCAGCCTCGTACTCCTCCTCTTCCGCATTGGTCCACGTGAGGATCAACAACAAAAAACAATAACCTCCCATCTGGTCAAACAACTCTCACTCGGGCCCTCCTGGGCGCCGTCCTTCCCAGAGATCCAACGTATTGAAAAAAACAAGACGGTGATTTTTCGGCCTCGAGAGGCCCTCGCCGAGCCCCGGGACCGTCAAAAAACGACTCAGGATGAGAAACCGGTCCCGGGAAATGGGTCGAGACTCCTGGGGACCCCGTATGGAAAAAATCACGACGTCAGATCTCTGGGTTACTGGCTGGCTCGTCGATCCGCGCCCAGCCGTGCACCAGGCAGAGCACACGCGCGGCCCGCGATTCTGCCCGCCGCGATCGGCCGCTAGGTCCGCCTGCCAGCATCGGAAAATAATGGAAAAATATGCCCCCCCCCGCCAGCCGCGGGCCCCCTGAAGGGGAAAGTCGGGGGGGGGGGGGACCGGCTCGGGAGGAGCGCATCAACCTGGACTCGACGATACATCGCCGATAGATCCGCGAGACGCAATCCGGCTCCGCACCTCCCTGGACTGGGTGGGCCATCGGGCCCCCATCTTGGCGGCGCGCACGAGGGGGGGGGAGGGCTTCTCGAGAGGAGGCTACCTCTCGGAAGGCGCTGGCCCTGCATCTGCAGATGAGGCCCGCGCCTTCTGGGAAGCAGGGGTGCTTCTGAGAAGCCCTCCCCCCTCCCCCCCCTTTGGCGCGTGGCCGACTCTCGGCGATGATCGGGCCAGGCGAAAGGGGGGGATAGCAAAAGGGGGGTTTGAGAATCAGCTCCCGTAGCCGATTTTCCGGGCGCCTCCCGGCGCCGGAGGCGGCCATGCATCGAGAGATGGTCCCCTCGGTGGGGCCGAAACCAGCTGCATGCAGCAGATTTCGTACCACCCCCTGTCCCAAGCCACTCGTATCCTCCTCCTCCTCCTCCTCCTCCTGCCTCCTCCCTCCCTCCTCTCCTCCTCCTCCTCCTCCTCCTCCTCCTCCTCCTCCTCCTCCTCCTCCTCCTCCCTCCTCCTCCTCCTCCTCCTCCTCCTCCTCCTCCTCCTCCTCCTCCTCCTCCTCCTCCTCCTCCCTCCTCCTCCTCCTCCTCCTCCTCCTCCTCTCCTCCTCCTCCTCCTCTCCTCCTCCTCCTCCTCCCTCCTCCTCCCCCTCTGCCTCCTCCTCCCCCTCTGCCTCCTCCTCCCTATCCCCCCCTCTCGTCCGGCCCGAGAGGGGTGGGCGCCTCGGGGTCGCTGCCTCCCCTCTCCGAGCCTCTCCCCGCGCCCCCCGCTCTCCGCGAGGGGGGCGCCTCCCGCGCGACCACCGCGCGAGGGGCCCAGCCAAAAAAGCTCGAGCAACGGGCGGGGCGCGGGGCGGGGAGCGCAGCTGCGATCCCTCCGTCCTCCTCCGCCGTCCATCCCTGAGGGGGGCCCTGGGACACACGCAAATACATGCGCACAAGTCGCAGGATCCCCGATATTTTCAATATTTTGTTCTGGGCTTCTGTCTTCCCCCCCACTTCCCAAAGTTTCTCCCATCTTTTCCTGGGAGCTGACGATTAATTGTGTCTGTGTGTTTTTTTCCCTCCTGATTCCCGCCGTCGCAGTCCTCTACGTTGCGCGGACATGATCAACTTGGTACGTCCCAGTCCTCCTCCATGCCCTGTCCTTCTCCATCTAACTCCTCCCTGTCGCACCCCCGAAGCTGGTCGAAAGAGCGGGCCGGGCGTTTCGCCTGAGACTTCCGCGCCATTTAAGGCCCTGAAGCTTATAGACCAGCTACAGTTTCACGGATTGAAGGCGGGTGGTTTTCAACATGTGGCTCTCGCCTCAGCGCCGAGCACATTCGTTTTAACAAAGTTCACAAGCTTCGTGGGTTCAAGGCGGTGTTTTCAAAACGTAGCTCTCGCCTTAGAGCCGCGCACATTCGTTTCAAGTGTTCGCCAAAGAACTTCACGGATTGAGGACATGTCGTTTTCAAAATGCGGCTCTCGCTTTAGCGCACTGTACACTCGTTTGTAAACAACCGCACGAGATTCATAAATTGAAGGCGGTTCCTTTTCGAAGTGTGCCGATCGCCTTAGCTCCGCGCATATCCGTTTCAAACAATTGCAAGTCTCTCACGGACTCCCATGGTCAACGTGCCACACATGAAGTTAAGGAAGGACTCAGGTTTGTGAGGGCGCAACAATTACGATGATTCGTGGTGTTGAAGTCCTAGGAACGGCGTTCTGGCATGATTCAGGATCGTCAAGACGCAACAATCATGTACACTCGTGGCGTTGTGGCCCTGATAATAAATCCCAATCATCCTGGTGTTGGGTCCTGGCTTTGAAGAGACAGCGCCGCGCGTCCCTCCTCCTCCTCCTCCTCCTCCTCCTCTCTTCCTCCCCATCCTCCCTCCCTCCTCCCATCATCATCATCATCATCATCATCATCATCATCATCATCATCATCATCATCATCATCATCATCATCATCATCATCATTATCATCATCGTAGTCATCATCATCATCATCATCATCATCATCATCATCATCATCATCATCATCATCATCATCATTAGCGGCATCGTCATCGTCATCGTGATCGTCGTCATTATCATCACCACCATCCCCGTCATCATCATCAGCACCATCATCATCATCATCATCATCATCGTCATCATCATCATCATCGTCATCATCATCATCATTATCAGCATCATCATTATCATCATCAACATCATCATTATCATCATCATTATCATCATCAGCAGCATCATCATCAGCAGCATCATCATCGTCATCATCGTCATCATCGTCATCATCATCATCCTCATCATCATCATGGCCATCATCATCACCATCATCGTCATCATCAAGCATCGTCATCGTCTCCGTCACACCCCTCACACGTTTCGTGGCCCCATAGGGAGCTCCACCCAAGGTCCAAGTGGCGCAGTCCGCATGGCGACGCCGCCCCATTTAAGCACACCCCTCACACGATTCGTGGCCGCATGGGGAGCTCCACTTCAGGTTCCAGTGGCGCAGTCCGCATGGCGGCGCCGCCCCATTGTGGAATACCACTCACACGTTTCGTGGCACCATGGGGAGCTCAATCCAAGGTCCCAACGGCGCAGTCCGCCTGGCGGCGCCGCCCCATTTAAGCACAATCCTCACACTTTTCGTGGCAGCATGGCGAGCTCCACCTCAGGTCCCAGAGGCGCAGTCCGCATGGCGGCGCCGCCCCATTTAAGCACACCCCTCACACGTTTCGTGGCACCATGGGGAGCTCCATCCAAGGTCCCAACGGCGCAGTCCGCCTGGCGGCGCCGCCCCATTTTGGCACACCCCTCACACGCTTCGTGGCCGCAGTGGGAGCTCCACCTCAGGTCCCAGTGGCGCAGTCCGCATGGCGGCGCCGCCCCATTTTGGCACACCACTGACACGTTTCGTGGCCCCATAAGGAGCTCCGCCCGGCTCCTCCACTACCCCCGTCGCGGCGCGTATCGCCGATCGAAGTATGCTGGCAATTGCCTTGGTCACCGCGTTGCTTCGACACAGAGTGTTCGCTTTGCGCACGCGCTTTCAGATGGTCGCATGTAGGTCGGCGGCGAAAATAGGACATGACCTTCGCGAAATGTTTGAAATGGTGTGTGGCGCTCGCTGGAGCGTTCGCTTTGCACGCGCCTTTTCGGACGGTCGCACGTTGGCTGGTGGGGAGGAAGGCGCGGGAGTGGGTGGAAATGTGTGGAGAGTTTTCGAGCGCGTAGAAGGACAATACCATCGCGAAATTATTGAAACGGTTTTGGGGGTTGGGGTGTTCGCCTTGCGCAGACGCTGCCGGAAGCGGGGACCTTGGCCTTCGACGAAGGGGCTCGCGCTCTTGATCCACGTTCTGGTGGCCATGCCTCGACCGTACCATGTTGTTACACGCTGCTTTGCGCAGCGTGCTTGCTTGCCGCGCCGAATGTGGCCGAGCCACATGCGCCGCCATTTTGTCTGAAGTTTCTTCCCGCCCTCTGCGCGGCCGTTCCGTGTCCATTTCTTTCCCTGCTGCTTTCTTTCCCGCGCGCGCCTGCTTGCCACGCCGAAGGTGGCCAAGTCCCATGCGCCGCCATGTTATGTCAATTTCTTTCCTTGGGAGTTGTCCTTGTCCTGGCACCCTCCTTCATCTCACATGCATCGAGATACTCGCAGCTCCCCCTCCTCCGCCTCCTCCTCTTCCTCCACATCCTCTTCCTCTTCCTCCTCCTCTTGATCCTCATCCTCCGTCCCCGCATCCCTGCTTCGTTCCTGCGCATCGTTATTATCATCACCATCATCGCCGCTCGCTCCTCGCACGTTTCGTGGCCCCATGGGGAGCTTCACCGAAGGCCCAAGTGGCAGCGCCCGCATGGCGTCGTCGCCCCATTTCGGCACACTCTTCAAGCGCTTCGTGACCCCATCAGGAGATCCACCGCAGGCGACACTAACAACGACGGTATTTACAACTGCATACGGTGTGGTCCTTCGCCAGGCTAATGTTTTGGCACGCTTCAGGGTCTTCAAACGGTTGTCTCCCAGCGACGCAGTTCCCTGTGGAAATGACTCCTTGTAGTGGCCTATCTGTGAAGAGGGAGCTTGGAGGGGGGGTCATTCCAACATCGTTGATGAGTCTTTGGGTTTCCACTGGTCTTCCTCCTCCTCCTCCTCCTTCTCCTCCGTCTGCCTCCTCCTCCTCTTCCTCCTCTTCCTGCCACCTCCTCCTCCTCCTCCTCCTCCCTCCTCCTCCTCCTCCTCCTCCTCCTCCTCCCTCCTCCTCCTCCTCCTCCTCCTCAGCTTCCGCCTCCGTATCCGGGACGAGCACGGTGCCGTGCTGCGGCTGGCCCAGGACACGCTCCAGGGGCTCCGCGGTGCCCCACGGAGCCCTCGCCTCTGGACCCCGACGCAGACACGCGCCAGATACACGGCGGTCCTCCCGCCCAGGAGGAGGAGGAGGAGGAGGAGGAGGAGCCCAAATCCGCTCCAAACTACCAGCCTGGAACATATCCCTATGCCTATGCTGGGCACCTCCTCATCACGATGCCAATCTTAGGGATTCCTTATTTTTTGAGGGCGAATCCCTGAGATTGTCATCGCCTTTTGGCGTGTCAATCTTAGGGATAGGGACACGTTCGAGGCTGGTAACCAAACCCACCTTCGGACCGGACCTCTCCCAGGGCCCGTCCGGTCCCGTCCGCGAGGCGAACCCAGAGATCCGACGACGTGATTTTTGTCCATACGGGGTCCCCAGGAGTCTCGACCCATTTCCTCGAGGCCGAAAAATACAAAAAATCTCCGCCTTGATGCTTTTCAATACGTTGGATCTCTGGGAAGGACGGCGCCCAGGAGGGCCCCTCGAGGCCAAAACATACAATTATCCAGGCGAAGGACCCAACCATATGCAATTGTGAATACCGCAATTGTGAATATCTTCTTCGGTGGCGCTCCCTATGGGGCCACGAAACGTGCGAGGGGTGTGCCGAAAGGGGTGTGCGGGACGCATGCGGGCACACCCACTGGGACCTTCGGTGGAGCTCCCTTTGGGGCCACGAAACGTGTGAGGGGTGTTCCGAAATGGGTGTGTGGGACGCATGCGGGCGGCAGCACTGGGGCCTTCGGTTGGGCTCCCTGTGGGGCCACGAAACGTGTGAGGGGTGTGCCGAAATGGGTGTGCGGGACGCATGCGGGCACACCCACTGGGACCTTCGGTGGAGCTCCCTTTGGGGCCACGAAACGCGTGAGAGCTGTGCCGAAATGAGCGTGCGGGACGCATGCGGGCGGCAACACTGGGGCCTTCGGTGGAGCTCCCTATGGGGCGACGAAACGTGTGAGGGGTGTGCCGAAATGGGTGTGCGGGACGCGTTCGGTGGAGCTCCCTATGGGGCCACGAAACGTGTGACCGGTGCTCGGTGGAGCTCCCTGGGTGAGGGGTGTGCCGGGGTGTGCGGGACGCATGCGGACGGCAGCCTGGGGCCTTCGGTGGAGCTCCCTGTGGGGCCACGAAACGTGTGAGGGGTGTGCCGAAATGGGTGTGCGGGACGCATGCGGACGGCAGCCATGGGCCTTCGGTGGAGCTCCCTATGGGGCCACGAAACGTGTGAGGGGTGTGCCGAAATGGGTGTGCCGCATGCGGACGGCAGCACTGGGGCCTTCGGTGGAGCGTGGGGCCACGAAACGTGTGAGGGGTGTGCCGAAATGGGTGTGCGGGACGCATGCGGACGGCAGCCATGGGGCCTTCGGTGGAGCTCCCTATGGGGCCACGAAACGTGTGAGGGGTGTGCCGAAATGGGTGTGCGGGACGCATGCGGACGGCAGCACTGGGGCCTTCGGTGGAGCTCCCTGTGGGGCCAC